AATCTGATTTTCAGCTTTTCTCCATTAGAAAAACGCCTGCCCAGGTCCATCGATCCCACAGTCGGATCTGATAGGAATCCGATCGGATCGTATCAGAATTTATAAGAACCGATTGTATCCTAGAGGAATATTGTCGGAAACAGAGTAGTAGAATCATATTGGGTTCCACTGGATTTCAGCTCCGATCGAATCTTGCTACCGGAATCTGACCGGATCCTACCGTTTTGGATATGGTCAGATTCCATTATCGGCAGCCGATGAAATACGACTGTTGCCAATCGACAGGACACTGTAATAAAAATCCAATAAAACCTGATATTCGACTTGTCCACGCCACGCAACACTTCGCTGATCAAGTTATAAAAAAAAGTTTTTTTGAGTTAGACAGTTCTGAATGCATTATTAAGTGCAGTTTTTCACTCTAATTGCGAATTTGACATTTGTTCTTTAAAGAGTTGGATTTTGGCATAGAAACCTGGGTTTTGCATTTTCCAAAAATCGTATTTTGAATTTCCTAACCACGAAATCTTTTCAAAAAAATGCTGAGTGACACACCATCACCATTCGAGACAGAACGTAATCCTCTACAAAATTGTCTATTTATTGTTTACTTTCGTCGCTAAGGACAACTTATACATTCTTGTACAGTTTCCAACTTACTGTACAGTTAATGAGCTCTCCTTTTGGTGTAGCAACTTGATTCGTGCGTGAAACGATTATACATACAGAAGAGAACAATATTTATGAAAATTACATATTTCTAAAAACGTGAAGTGCCTCAAAATCAGTCGACAAAAAACTGTTTAACAGCGTTACGGTTGTTTTTAGCATTTTTATCTGAATGAAAACAGTTTAGAGAAAATCTTTTTTACAGCGTAAAAGTCTGTTCGATGCTCTACAAAACTGGTTCTTGAAGCGTTTCATTTGGAGAAATACTTTCGCAAGAAATTAGAGTTTTATCAGTGACAGTGAAGAAAAAGGGTCCTTTTATGTAACAGCGTTACGCGATAATAAAACTTTCCTAGAAGCGCAATACTTCAGCGGAAAATGGTCCTTCTTATAGCACAAATAGAGTGGGATAAGCTGAATTAAATGACATTTGAACGAACTTTCTAGCCCTCAAATCTTCCGAGAAAATTGAAAAGAAGTATGTCAAAAACGTAACAGCCTTACGTTTGGACAAGCCGAATTCTTTATAGGACGAGAGTAGATAAAGGAACACAGAGATAGAAAGTGGTTAAGAGACCAGGAAGATAGAATAAATAGTCATATCGTCTGAGGAAAATATAGTCTATGATCACATATGTATGAATTATTAAATCAATGTTAAAATTGATATCGACTGATGCACTTAGGATGAAACTCATTTTGAAAGGCTTATATTTACAGCATATGAAGTATATCACTAATAGAGATTATTTATGATGTTAAATTCTTCTGAGAAACTAAAATCAGGGGGTTGAATTAAAATTTGTGAAATGATTTGTAGCGATATCTTGTATTTGTATTGTTCTCAAGCAGAATTGGTCGTACTATTGTCCAACTTTAACTGTAGTGTAGCGTCATCCTAGAAGTGAAACTCAACTTTTCCAAAAAACAAAAGTATAGTTTCAAAGAATACCTATTTTAACTCATTTCTATCATAAACTTATTCTCTGACGTTCACACTTTCTCAAATGTTACATCTAGTAGTGCATTTCGACATTGATTCGCATTTCTCGCTACGCTTTATATCACCAGATCACGTAATAATATTCGAAACACATCGCTTCAAATTGATTGTATCACTTTGGTATTGTATTAAAATTTAAAATTAAATTAAAATTTAAAATTCTATATGAATCTTATTTATTCTACTTTCGTCAATCTTATCTCCAAATTTACTCCTCAACTTCATATTTACTTTTTTCTTATTACCTCAGTTCTTTTTTCTTTAGCTCCGTTCAGTATTTATTTTCTTTTTTCATTTATTTACTCATTTATTTATTTGTTGTTATTTACTCTTTCGTATTCATTCATTCATTTTTTTTTAATATTAAACAACATTAAAATTAAAAAATTATACAAAACGTTTATTTTTCATTAGTTAGTTCTTGCATGTTATTTTCTGTTCATTATTTATTGTTGATTCGCTTTAATTTACTTATCTTCACCATCATCCTCACTTGCTGATCCAGAATCACGAGTTCAAATGTATTTCTTTTATTCGCATTTCTGTTTCGATTCTTCCACACTCACTCTGCTACTCTCTTCTCTTTCCGAGCGATTGAGACAGAACGAGCGAGAACGAGTGAGAACATGTTGTCAATAACGATCTCTCTAAGCAACCTGAAACAATACGAGAGGAGAAATCATATTACTACAAATGCACAAGAAAAATGAATAAGCAACACTAAACAACGCAAAAAATACGACAGAGTTTTGACTCACTACTAAAATTAACTATATAACGGGTGAGCCATAATAAATGGTCCATTTTTGCATTTCATTTTTTCACCACTTACTACGTCGTATTAGAAAAACAAAATATACCACAAGATGCAGCGTGAAAAGCTCTACAATCTACAAAGTAAAGCTTATTTTAATTATATCGTTTTTGTTTTGAAAAAAAGCAAAACTCTGCAATTAATTTATGCAACGGCAAAAGTTGATCGCACAGAGTTTGCTTTTTTTCAAAACAAAAACTGTACAATTAAAATAAGCTTTACTTCGTAGATTGTAGAGCTTTTCACGCTGCATCTTGTGGTATATTTTGTTTTTTTTAATACAACATATTATATGGTGGAAAAATGAAATGCAAAAGTGGGCGATTTATTATGCTCACCCGTTAGATTTATGCATGTGATAAGTATAACTTTTAGATAATAAAAATGGATTCATTGGTACAATGTCATTATTGCAAACAAAGTCCCACCAATCCGTTGGAATTGCAATGCCATCATTCGTATTGCGAAGCCTGTCTTGCCAAACATATCCAAAATGATAAAGTGATTTGTCCAGTTTGTGGTTCTGAACATATGACACCCATTTCATCACTCTCGTCAGCCAAACCCGACAAACTCGCTCCATTTCTAATTGGTCTGCACAGGTTTGTTATAAAAAAAGATTTTCGATTTACAATCCAAATAAAAATCATCATCTAATTGTAGTGATGCAGAATCTATTCGTAGGCTGTAGTGTCGCTACAGGAAAGAAAGGAGAAGGAAAAATCGATTCAGTCAGAAATTTTTCTCAAAATATTTGACAAAAAATTAGATTCCTCGTCTTTTCGCGCAAAAATCAAGGGAAAAAAACCGAATTTCAGTTCAAACAAGCCAACAAGAGCCGGGAATATCCGGTAAAATTCATCAAAATCAAATAAAATTCGTAAAACTTTCGATAGAGCTTAGAGCGTCGCATGTAGAGTTCATCAGGCTCAACGTTTTTAGACCAGAAACCCGGATTCGATATCGAACCAGATAAAATTTCTGGTGTGGTGTAGGTCCTGAACTAGAAAAGATCAGGACGTTTTTCAGACAATAACATGCCCTAGTGATGAATGCAACAGCTTTTTTTAGGGACATTAAAAATATTTTTGATGATACTAATGATGATCTTGAACAAGAATGAATATTGTTTTCTGTATATGATTACTCCGATAATGAACAGCGATACATATTAAGCTCAATGAGAGACAGTTTTGCTCTTTTTTTCTATTCTTTTTGCGTCTAAATATCGAGCTTACTATTTTAATAAAACGACTGAGAACTGCATAGGATGTCTTTTATGAACTTCCTGGAAATTCATTCAAGTCCTA